TGATGCCGCCGGTGGCGATCTGGGCCTCGAGCAGGCGGATGCCGTGGCTCTTCACGATCAGCCCCTGGTTCATGGCTTCGAACAGGGACATGGGGGCTTTGGTGTAGGGGTCGGTGTAGCCCGTCACGGCTCTCTCCGCGCAGAGCAGCTTCTCGAAGATCTCCCCTCCGATCAGACCCTCCTTCAGCGCCTCCTCCACGGAAAACTTCTGGTTTTTCTCGGGGTCGATGATGTAGCCGGTGGCCGCCTGCGCCTCCAGCAGCACCAGGGCGGTGCCTGGCCTCAGGATGCCCTTCCACATGGCCTGGTAGATGCTCATCTTCTCGTTGCTGGGCTGTATGAGGACCCCTGCTATGAAATTGCTGCCCTCGAGGTACCTGCGGACAGACTCCATTTCGGTGACCTCTTTGACTGTTTTCTTCCCCTGGTTGAGCTCATCGAGGGTCTTTTTGTCTATGAGCTGGGACTCGAAGAGGTCACTGGCAGACACTCTTTTCCGCAGGCCCTTGAATGCAAACTTCTTGCCCTGTGCCTCAGTCTCTTGGATGATCGTGGTGATGATCGTCGTGATTTCCTGCAGCACTTCGGCCTTCTCATCTTTGTACCTTTGCACCAGCTCCCTTCTCTTGCTGTCTGAGAAGTATTCGGAGTTGAGGAGGTCCCAGACGGACACCGTCTGCCCCTTGAACCGCCCCACGTTGACGCAGACGGTCACGGATTTCAGCACTTCCATGGTCTGCTCGTCCACGCAGAACATGGAGTTTTCCGACAGCGGGAGGAGCCACAGCCCCGACTCGGGCTCGCGGATGCACCGCTCCTTCAGCTGCTGGTAGGTCACGTTCTCCTTGGTGTTGGGGTCGAAAAACACCTTGGTGGTGTCGTTCAGCTGGGACAGGGTCTGGTTCATGCCCTCGTCGTAGAAGCCGTACCTGCACGCGGCCTGGAGCGGCAGGTGGAGGTGGTGGACGGGATCCACCACCCCTCCCGTGGCCAGCTGGGCCTCCAGCAGGGGAACGGCCTCTCCCAGCGGGACCAGCTCCTTCCTGAGCGCTTGGCACAGGGAGATGGGGCTCCCCGAGTAGGGATCCGTGTACCCCGTCACGGCCCTCTCGGCCAGGAGGAGTTTCTCAGTGAGCTCCTCGCCCACGACGGCCGCTCTCACGGCGTCCCTCACGCTGAGCCTCCGGTTCGTGGCGGGGTCAGTCAGGTATCCCGTGGCTGCCTGAGCCTCCAGCAGCCTCAGAGCGGCCCCGGGGAGGAGGAGGTTGTTTTTCATGGCGTCGTAGAAGCTCATTTTTTGTTTGGACGCCTCTACGAAGACGCCGGCGATGCTGCCCGTGCCCTGCAAGTACCTCTTCACGCTCTCCATCGCAGCCACCTCCTCGGGGGTTCTTATGCCCTGAGCCAGCTCTTCAAACGTCTTCTCAGAAATGATGCCCGTGTCCAGCAGCCAGACCACGGGGACGCTGCCCCGCAGGCCCTCCAGGGAGATCTGGGTCCGGGCTTTCATCTCCATGTCCCCCACGAGCCCGAGCACGAGAGCCACCAGCTGCTGCAGTGACAGCTCCTCGCAGCGGAACCTCTCCACAAAGTTGCTCCTCTGCTCCTCGGTGAAATACCCCGAGTGGATGAGCTCCCAGAGGGAAACCCCTTTCTCCTCCACCACGGTTTCCTTGAAAATCCGTTGGATTTGCTCGTCGGTGTAGGCAGGGGCGGCTGCCTGGGGCAGAGGCAGCAAGTGGAAGCCGGAGACGTCGTCCCTCTGGCAGTGCTGGATCAGCTCGGCGTAGGTCACGGACTCTTTGCTGTCCGGGAGGCAGAAGGCTCTGTGCTCCTCGCTGGGCTCGGAGAGGGCCTTGCTGGTGTCCTCATCCAGGCACCCTCGCTGCTGGGCCGACTCCAGGGGGATGTGGTGGCCACACGCCGGGTCGATGATGCCCCCCGTGGCCATCTGCACCTCCATGAGCTGCATGGCCTGCTTGTCCGTGATCAGGCCCTTCTTCATCGCCTGGAAGAGGGGGATCTTCTTGCCCGTGAAGGGGTCTTTGTACCCCGTCACGGCCCCTTCCGCGTGCTGCAGCTTCTCGTGGACGTCCGGGCCGATGACCCCCTCCCTGACGGCCTCGTCCACGCGGAGCTTCTGGTTGTTCACGGGGTCGATGATGAAGCCCGTGGCGGCCTGGGCCTCCAGCAGGGGCAGGGCTACCCCCGGCACCACGATGTTCTGCTTCATGGCCTCGTAAATGCTCATCCTCTGGTTGGACGGCTGGAGCACAATCCCCCCGATGCTGCCCGAGCCGTAGAGGTACTTCCTGACCGAGTCCATGTGCAGGACTTGCTCTGGGGTGACGGATCCCTCCAGCACCTCCTCGAACAGGGCCCTGTCGATGACGCCCGTCTCCATCAGGTGGTAAGCGCTGACGCTGCCTCGCATGGCCGGGAACTTGATGGGGGCCCACTTCTTCATCTCCTCCTCCAGCATCAGCCGGATCTGCTCCAGGCTGAGCTTCCTCAGCTGGAAGTGGTTGAAAATCTCCCGGCGCCGCCCCTCGCTGAAGTACTCGGAGTTCAGCAGGTCCCACACGGAGACCCTCTCCCCCCGCAGGCGCCCGAACCTGACGGGCAGCCAGGAGCCCCTGAACACCTGCCTGGTGGCCTCGTCGACGAACTGCCTCTTCCTGCTGTTCAGGGGCAGGAGGCAGAGCCCGGTGGAGGGCTCGGTGATGCACTTCTCCTTCAGCTGCAGGTAGGTCAGGTTCTCGTGGGTGTTGGGGTCGAAGAAGCCCTTGGTGTCGTCGCTGGGGTCGGACAGGATCAAGTTCATCTTCTTGTCGAAGTAGCCGCGTTTGTAGGCCACCTCCACGGGGATGCGGTGGCTGTGCACGGGGTCGATGATGCCGCCGGTGGCGATCTGGGCCTCGAGCAGGCGGATGCCGTGGTCCCTGACGATCAGCTCCTTCTGCATGGCCTGGAAGAGGGAGATCTTGCTCCCCGAGTAGGGGTCCCTGTAGCCGGTGACCGATTTCTCCGCAGCCAGCAGCTTGTCGTAGACATCCGGGCCGATGACGTTCGCCCGCAGGGCCTCGTCCACGGAGTACCTTTTGTTGGCCGTGGGGTCGATGACGAACCCCGTGGCAGCCTGTGCCTCTAGGAGGATCAGAGACGTCCCCGGCCTCAGGAGTCCTTTCCTCTTTGCCTGGTAGATGCTGATCTTCTCCTGGGAGTCGGGGAGCAGCAGCCCAGCGATGCTCCCCGTGCCCTGCAGGTACTTCCTGACCGTGTCCATGCCCACGACCTCTTTGGCCGACGTTTCGCCCTCCTTGAGCCTCTTAAACAGGTCTTTGTTGATGATTTCCGAGCTCAGGAGCTGGTCAGCCGTCACCTGGTCCCTCAGGCCCTCGAAGGTGACGTTGGCAGTGGCAGCCGTTTCCTCCACGGTGGCTCTGACGGCCTCACCCAGTCCTTGCGTGGAGAGTGTTCCCGACAGGAACTGCTGGGCCAGAGCAGCTCTTCGCTCGCCCGGGACGTGGTCGGAGAAGAGGAGTTTCCAGAGAGACACCGACTTGCCCTTGAACTTCCCCACAGAAATGGGCACCCGTGTGTTTTCCAGAGCCACTTGGGCCCTGTGGTCAAAGAAAAGGGGGGTTCCCTGGGATCCTTCACCGCTGTCCCCACCCAGAGGCAGCAGCAGGAGCCCCGTGCCGGGGTCGGTGACGCAGCGCTGGAGCAGCTCCAAATAACTCAGCTTTTCCTTGGAAACGGGGTCGAAGAACCCTTTCATGTGGTCGGGAGGGCTGGAGAGGAGCTGCCTGGTGGCCTCATCCAGGTACCCCCACTCGCAGGCCGTCTCTGTGGGGACACGGAGGTGCCTGCCCGGAGCAATCACACCCCCCGTGGCCATCTGAGCCTCCAGGAGGCAGAGGCCGTGGTCCCTGGGGACAAATCCCTTCCTGACGGCTTGGAACAGGGAGAGCATCTCCCCAGTGGAGGGGTCTCTGTACCCAGTGATGGTTTTCTCGGCTGAAGACAGTTTCTCATAAAGCTCCGGGCCGATAAAACCGACCCTGACGGCCTCGTCCACTGAGTAGGTTTTGTTCTTCAGGGGGTCTGTCAGGCTGCCGGTGGAGGCCTGGACTTGCAGGAGCATCAGAGCAGCACCAGGCACGAGGAGATGCTCTCTCAGCGCCTGGTAAAGGCTCCTCTGCTCCCCGGAAGGCAGGACAACCCCGGCCACGCTCCTGGTCCCACGCAGGAACTGCTGGACCACGTCGTTCTCTGCCAACTCCTGCGCAGAGACCGTCCCCTCCTCCAGGCCTCGGAACACGTCGTGGCTGATGATGCCGGAGTCCCGCAGGTCCCTGCTGCTCACCCTCCCTCCCAGCCCCGGGAACGTGATTTGCAGGGGCAGGAGGAGGAAGCCCGAGGCCGGATCCACAACGCACCTCTTCCTGAGCTCCGAGTAGGTGACCTTCTCCGCAGTGCTGGGATCCAGGAACACCCTGCTGTCCTCCTGGCTGGGGTCAGAGAGGTGCCGGCTCATCTCTTCATCCAAAAATCCCCTCTCACAGGCCACATCCGCGGGCAGCCGAGCGCCGGTGGCCGGGTCGATGACACCCCCGGTTGCCATCTGTGCCTGGAGCAGGCGGGTGCCCTGCTCCCTCCCCACCAGCTCCTTCTGCATTGCCTGGTACAGGGGGATTTTCTCCTCCGTGTAGGGGTCCAGGAAGCCCGTGGCAGCCCTCTCTGCCGCCAGCAGCCTCTCCTTCAGCTCCAGCCCCACCAGCCCCAGGCGCACGGCGTCCGCCACCGAGACGCGCCGGCGCGTCGCCGGGTCGGCGACGGAGCCCGTGGCCGCCTGGGCCTCCAGGAGGCTGAGGGCCGGATCCAGGCTCAGCAGGTGCTCTCTGGTGGCCTCATAAAAGCTCATTATCTTCTTTGAAGCCTCTACATACACGCCAGCGATGCTGCCAGCCGCCTCCGAGGGCTCCCCGGGAGCATCCGGCCCCGCCGCGGCCCCGCCGGCCGCTTTGGGTTGTTTGTGTGGCATCGCCTCCTGGCACGAGTGGCTTTTCCCTGGCGTGCCTTCCCCGGGAAAGCTGGGGACAGCGTGGCCGTTCACTGCTGGCTTGCTCTCCATCCTCCCGCTGCTGGCCTTCCACAGGACTCTGGAGAGAGGGGGGAGAACGGGAAGCGCCAGTGAGAAACCGACTTCTTTACGCTTTGCGTGTCAAATATAGGGAAATCAGAAGCATAAACACACACCCCCCCCCAGGCAGGAGGAGGCGACAGCCAAAGGCTGAGCACGTCTGAACCTGATGTGCCATCCCGAGGGATCTGGGCAAGGCCAAAGAGTCGGTGGAGGAGAAGCTCCACGTGCCCCAGCTGTGGGCACTGGCACCCAGAAACCCCCCTTTTCCTGGGCTGATCCCACAGCGTGGGCAGCAGGGGAGGGGGGGATTCTGCCCCTCTGCCCCGCTGAGATGAGACCCCACCTGCAGAGCTGCCTCCAGCCCTGGGGCCCCAACATAAGAAGGGTGTGGAGCTGCTGGAGAGAGTCCAGAGGAGGCCCCGGAGATGCTCCCAGGGCTGGAGCCCCTCTGCTCTGGAGCCAGGCTGGGAGAGCTGGGGGGTTCACCTGGAGAAGAGAAGGATCCAGGGAGAGCTGAGAGCCCCTTGCAGGGCCTAAAGGGGCTCCAGGAGAGCTGGAGAGGGACTGGGGACAAGGGATGGAGGGACAGGACAAGGGGGAATGGCTTCCCACTGCCAGAGGGAAGGGTTGGATGGGATATTGGGAAGGAATTCTTCCCTGGGAGGGTGGGGAGGCCCTGGCACAGGAGAAGCTGTGGCTGCCCCATGCCTGGAAGTGTCCAAGGCCAGGTTGGATGGGGCTTGGAGCAACCTGGGCTAGTGGAAGGTGTCCCTGCCCATGACAGGATGGGACTGGATGGGCTTTAAGGTCCCTTCCCACCCAAACCATTCCATGATTCTGTGATTCCGGGAGTCCCGACATGCAGGTCCGTGTGCTCCCACCGCGGCTGCCGCACGAACCCGCCTCTCCTTCTGCTGGTCCCTCCTTCCCACACTCCCCAGGCGGTGCAAGGAGGGCAGAGGCTCCGCCTCAGCGAGCAGCGGACACCGGGCAAAGAGTCTCCGGGGCCGCCTCGGGGTGAGGCAACATCTAACCCAAACCTGCCCTCCCGTTTGCAAAGCTCCGGCAGGTCTGAGGGCACTCGTGGCCCAGCGTGGGCGTGCCGAGCTCCGGGAGCTGTGGTCAGCTGTGGTCAGCTGTGGTCAGCTGTGGTCAGCCGCAGCCTCCAGGCTGTGTCTGCGGCACAGGGTGCGGGAGGAGCCTCCCTGCCCGCAGCCTCCCACGGAACGGCGCCTGTGCCAGCACCCATCGGTCCCGGGCAGGAGCCTGTGGAGCTGGATCATATTTGAGGAGCGAGGGGAAAGGTCCCGCTGTGCCGGGGCAGCACCGATGGTTATTCCCCCGTGAGTGCCGTCCCCTAAGGCAGAACCACAGCACCAGTGCCGGGTTGGAGCGGCCCTAGAGGGGCAGGCGAGGCCACGGGGCGAGCACGGAGCGCTGCAGCAGATGGAGGAGACCCGCTTGCCCGAGCTCCTGCAGCCGAGTCCACTTCTGGAACCCGGCTGCGAGGACACAGCCAGGGCAGGGCTGTCCCAGGGCAGTCACCGCACAGAGCCCCAGAGGGAGCCGGTGTCACACGGACCCTCCCGCAGAGGTCACACTGAGCGGGGACAGTGCGGACCAGCTGTATCTCACCGTCCGGAGCTCACAGGACCAGCTGTATCTCACCGTCCGGAGCTCACAGACCCACGTCCTCCCCGGCCCCACCAGTGTAAACACCAGGGAGCGAAGAGCAGTGACGGTGCCGGCGGGTGCTGTACCCGGGTCCCTGCTCACCCCAGGACCAGCCTCTCCAACGGGGGCTCGGTGCGCCCGGCTCCGTCCCCGCGTGTCTCTCCAGCTCATCCCACGCCCTCCGGCCACGCCAGCACCTTTTCCTCGCGAGGGCTCCTGTGTCCCAGCCGCGCTCCGGGCTCGCTGCCCGGCCCGGGGAAAGGTCCCAACAGGAGCCGGCTCCCTCCCTCCGCCCGGTGATGTCAGCGCGGCTCGGATCTGCCCAGGCAATGCTGTTTGTGTTTGCAGGATCGGGATCGCGCCCGGCTCCTGCGCCAAGAGGCGGGGACGGCGGCCGGGGGGGCCCCGGGGCTGCGCCTGCCTCCGGGAAAAACGAGGAGAGGGGGGGAGGACTCGGGGGTCTCTCCTTGGTGGGGAAGGGGCGAGGGGCCCAGCCGCTGGCCGAGAGCTGGAGGAGCCGCTCTGTCCTGAGCTCTGGGGTGGGAGCGAGGGGGTTCCCCCACCCCTCTGTCCCTCCTCTGGGTGCACACAGTGACGGGCATCCCTGTGCCACACACCCCCAAAACACACGTCGGGCTGGCAGCACCTCGGCACCGGCTCTGCCCGCCCCGGTCCTGGGGCCGGAACGCTGCCCCACAACCCTTTCCGGACAGAGAGATGCCGGGTTGGGTGGCACAGGCTGTGCTGCGCTGGGGAGGAGCTGGGCTCAGCCCCGCCGTGCCGTGGGCACAGCCGTGGGCAGCAGTGGCGAGGCTCCGGTGTCTGGAGAGCCCCAGGCAGGTCCCCTCATGTCCCAGAGCTGAGACGGCCACGGACACCAGCACTGGTGTGGCTCCGGTGTCTGGAGAGCCCCAGGCAGGTCCCCACGTGTCCCAAAGCCAAGTCACACCAGCACCGGTGTGGCTCCGGTGTCTGGAGAGCCCCAGGCAGGTCCCCGCATGTCCCAGAGCCAAGCTGGCGACTGGCACCGGAGCGCAGACGGAATTTGGGCACTGCCTCCCGTAACTGCGGCAGCTTGAAAACCCAACTCCCGCCGGGGCTGGGGGCCCGAGGATGGAGGTGTTGCCCCCACCCTTCCCCGGGCGGGGAGAGGCGGTGGGTGCGCGGCGGGGGAAGGACTCTGCTCCCTTTCGTCAGAAGGCGTCAGCCCCACGGAAACTTTGAGTAACCGACTCTGCCCGCGACGGCGCGGAGATTCCTGGCAGAGGTGTTGGCACCTGCCGCCCTCCCCGGGGCCACGGTCTCTCTCCCCGACGCGGGCGCCTCTCCCTGGCACCCGCAACCGCTGCTTTCGCTCCTGGCAGCGCCGGGGAACGCGGATCCCGCGCACCCACCGCCAGCCCCCGCCGTCCCTGTGCACCCACCGCCACCCGCGTCCCTCCCCAGGGCCCCCGGCAGCGCCTCTGCCCCGCGTCCCGTGGCAAAACCCGCACCTCCGCACCCGCGGGGAGCACCCGCAGGCCGGGAGAGGCTGCCGGGGGGCCCTGGGCAGGGACCGGGAAAAGGGACAGGTTTTACTGGCGGAGGGGACACGGTGTCAGGGAGAGGGTGGCGGAGGAGGTGTCTGAGGGGCAGGGACAGGTAGAGCGCTGGGAGGGGCTGGGACTCGGGATGGGAGCCTGGCGGGGCCGGGGGGAGTCCGTGGGGTGGTCTCCGGGGGGACAGGCGGAGGCCGGGGGTGTTTCAGGGGAGGGAGAGCGGTGGAGAAGTTTTCTGGGGCAGTGACAAAGGGTGATGGAGACAGGGAGCGTGGCTGGGCCACTCTGGGGGGCCCTGCTCTGAGCGGGCTGGGGGTAGCCCAGCACCCTTTCCCGGGAACGCTGCCTGCCGGGCTGCCTCGGCTCAGGGACCACAATTTCGGGGTCCCCCAATGGCCGGGGACAGACCCTGCCCGGTGCCAGGAGCGGGGCTGCAGTGGGATGGGGTCACATCCTGCCCGCGGGGACAACTCCATGCACCACGCACCCACCTCACCGGGTACTGTGGAACGGCGCTGCCAGACCCCGCCTGCCCCTTCCTTGGCACCCGCCGAGCCCCTCTGTGCCATCGGGACCCCGAGGCATCCCGGGCTGTTCCCGGGAGCCGTCCCCTTCGGGCAGCCAACACCTCCCGTCCCGCTCCCGGGAAGTGCCGGGGTCAGGAACCACCACCCTCCCGCTGTTGCCCCAGGAGGGGTGGCAGTGCCCGGGGTGCCACAAGCGCCGTGCGGCTGCCGCCCCACGCCCACGGTCCCGCCCCGGCTCCCGGCTCAGCCCCGCCGGACCGGCGGGCGGGCGGGAGCGGTGCCGCATTCCGCACATACCGGGGAGCGGGCGAGGGCCTCCTCCGGCCCCTGCTGCCCCCCCGGCACGGCCCGCAGTGCCCGGCCGGGCCCCCTCTCCACCCCACCGCTCCCACCTGCGCTCGGTGATGGCAGAACGGGCTCACCTGGCAGGTGCCCGCGGTCCCGCTGCTCCGCCGCTGCTTCCTGCCCGGGACCAGAGCACGTTTAAAACCTTGCCCTTCCCCGCCCCTGGGGATGACACACCGGCCCAGCCCTGCCAGAAACTCGCGGGGCCAGCCCTCCCCACGGCTCCTTGGGGGTGCTGGAGTCCCCCCTCGCGGGGGTTCACCCATCCCAAAACTGGCTGCAGTGTGGGAGGTGGCCCCGTCCCGGCGGGCTGTGCCCTCTGCGGAGGAGTTGAGGGCAAGGGACAGAGAGACCTCCCTCCCCCGGGGCCAGCGCTGCCCTGGTCCCCAGCAGCCCCTCATCCTTCTCCCCACCACACCCCAAACCCTCCCCTGCACCAGCAGTGCCCCTGCACCTTGTCCTGGCTGCAGCTGCAGGGCTGACAGACCCCACTGCGGGCCTGACCCCATTACCACGGTTGGGGTGGAGAGGGGGACCCTTCCCTGCTCCCCCCCAGCCCTGTCCACACCCCTGGATGTGTACGTGCAGCCTGAATCGCCCGAAACGTGCCCAAACCATCCCGTTGCCACCTGAGTCACCCAAACACCCCTTGCCCTGCCCCTGTCACCAGCCCCACGCCCTCTCCCCAGACCCCGCCGGCGGGTCCACACCCCGCTCCTGCTCCCCCCCGAGCACGCCCTCCCCTCTCCCCGCTGCCACCGGGGCCCAAAAGAGCACCAGGCACCTCGGGGGGGGGGGGGGGGGGGGGGGGGCTTTGAGCCCCCCAGGGCAGGGGGGGGGTCACTCGGCAGCCCCCTCCGGTGCCACCCTGTGGGGTGAGGTGCTGCGGGAGGGATGCGGCGCTTGGGCAAGATGTTTGTGGTGCGTGGGAGTGTGTTGTCTGGAGAGGTGCCGGTTTCCAGGCACGGGCCCGGCCGGGCGAGCCCGTGGTGTGGCACCGAGCCCTGGTACCCACGGTGGGTGCAGCCAGCCCCACTGCAGCGCTGGTTCCCCCCCCCCCCCGCGCGGCGCCGCATTCCCATGGGAATGGCGCTGCCAAACGCCCGGACAGGAACCCCCTTCTGCGCCTGTTTCTCCAGCAGCGCTGAGCCAGCGCTCCGGGAGGGCAGAGGGACCCTCAGGAGGGTCACCCAGAGCTGTGGGGCCAAGACAGGGGCTGCCCTGCACGATGTCCCAGACTCACGGGGCGACGTCCATACAGGGGCAACACCAGTGAGAGGGGCAGGGGCTGCTGCATCTGCCACTGTACCCATGGAGAGGTGGCTGCATCCCAGAAACCAGCGCAGGTTTCCGACGGCTTCCCAGGCATCGGGAGAGGTGTCGCTCCCAGGAGGTGCCAAGGAGCCTTAATCCATCAGCAAACAGGGATAAGAGTTTGTCATCACCGCAGAGGGCTCGGCGCCGGCACGATGGAACGGTGCTGGCACTGCGGAGCTTCCCACTGCCGAGGCTCCAAGGTGCCAACCCACTCACCCTCTGATGGGGTGGGGGCCAGCAGAGCCTCCCTACAGCCTCCCCGGGACCCTGTGACCTGCTCTGGGAGCCAGGAGAGCCCCAGGGCTGCAGCAGGACCGGGCACGGGCAAGGCCAGTGGGGCATCACCACCCCACCGGGCTGCAGGGACAGGCAAGGACGGGACCTCGGGTCTCTGTCTGGGCAGCACAGCTGAGCACACAGCCACCAGTGCACTGTCCTGGGCCGTGCTGGGCCGTGCTGGGCCATACTGGGCTGTGCTGGGTCACGGTGGGCGTTCCTGCACCTTGCTGGGCGATACTGGGCTATAATGAGCCGTGCTGGGCTGTACTGGGCCGTACTGTGCTGAGCTCTGCCGCGCTCCTGCTGCCAGCACGGAGCGGCTGCTGCTGCTGCCCGGGGCGCCGGGAAGGGGCCCTGGTTGTAAATGAGCCGTGAAAAGCAGCTGCGATTCCAGCGGATCCGACCGAACCACGCGCGGCTTCATCAAAGCTCCTCCTCGGCTGCCGACGAGGAGGACGGGGAGCGACCGGCCCGGGCACCTCTCCCCTGCCCTGGGCACCTCTCCCCTGCCCTGGGCACCTCTCCCCTGCCCGTGGGCGGCTCCGGGAGCCTCCGTGACACCCCTGCTCTGCCGCTGAGGAGCCAAAGGCCGCGGGGATGTTGGTCCCGGGGAAGGGGGAGCCCGGAGGTGCCGGGCTGTGGTCACTCACTGACCAAAGCCCGCGATGGGGAATTGGTGCCCGACCAAGCCGGGTGTCAGGGGTGCACGGCCAGAGCCGCCGCCGTGCCCGGCCCCCCGCCCGGGGGCTGCGGGGAAGGCGCTGGGTCTGAGTGACGGGGCTCGGGCCGAGCGGGCAGAGCCGGTGACGGGTCCTGGCGGTGACCACTGCAACCCCCGCCAACTGTGCGGCCGCTGGCAGGGCTCCCACCCACAGGGACATCCCATCCAAACCCCCGGTGCTCACCCACACTGCCCGGCATCACCGGGCAGCGCGGGTCCCCCCTGCACCACGTCCGTCTGTCCCAGTCTGGTCCCACGGACAGCCCGAGGGCCAGGGGCACGGGGCACAGCCCCCCCGGCTCTGGAGGATCTGGCGGAGGGGCTCAGCACAGCTCTGGGGTGGCAGCGGCAGCACGAGGAGGGCGAGCCAGCTTCGGGCACAGGACGCCACACTCCCCATCCCTGCGGGCGGACGCTGGGGAAGGGGCGAGGCACAGCGGGAGCGCGGCACGAAGCCGGGGCCGGGGCCAGCGCTGAGCTCAGCGCCGGGAGGGGCCTGCCAGGGCTCTGCTGCCCGGGATCTGCCAGGGTTCTGCTGCCCAGGATCTGCCAGGGCTCTGCTGCCCGGGATCTGCCAGGGCTCTGCTGC